AAGTCACCTCTGCTGCTCCAAAACACTGTTTTGGCTGCTCCAAAAGCCACTTTTGCTGCTCCAAAACACTGTCTTGGCTGCTGCAAAGGCCACTTTTGCTGCTCCAAAACACTGTTTTGGCTGCTCCGAAAGGTGCTCCAAAACGGGTTAGGCCAATCGCATCACCGCAGTTGTGAAACCTTCAAGGTAATAGTGAAAAAAAGATATTATGTAAGGCCTGTTTACACATACAACCACAGCTCTACATTAGGGCTATTAGTCAAGACCTGGGAATACAGTGTAGACCGCATATAACGTAAAACGCGGGAGTCGCGAAAATCTGCACTATAAGCGGTACCGCGTTATAACGAAAACATCAATTTTTCAGGCCAAAATACATGCCATGAGACAACTTACCTTAAAAAAAAAAAAATTTATTTTATGTTAGTCGAAGAGGAGTCTTTATTTCACCAGACTAGTACACTTCTCTTTTAAGTGTCAATTTTGAAAGAAATGAGCGACTTTTGCCTGGCGCAGCCTTTTAACGGCGTCGCTGGTTGCGGACGGACGTTGCAAGCGTTAGGATTGCTAACCCTAATCACTTTTTTCCGGTGATGAAGACGCGTGAAAATTCGCATCCTTTATACGGTACGCGCCAGTAATACCTTCAACTTTAGCACAGGCGTGAAATGCTCCAGATAAGAAATCCGGGCGATGTTCAAAAACACAAATGCTTAGAAAGCACCACTGTAGTCGAAGTAAACAAACACAACGACACGGGTGTTTCTGCCGTCTTGAGAGTGCCGCCACGACATCGCCGCACGAGTAGGTGGATCTCCCCTTCTAGTACGTGCTGGGTTATCATAGCGGCACACAACGAAAATTCACAGTCAAGGATAGTGCTTTTGCGTGGAACGATCGCAACCGACGCCATGTTTGCGGATAGAAGCCGGCCCGCGACTGACATGCAACGCGCTCTAACAGTTCTCCCCAACCTGCAATTGGTCTGTCGTTGCGGTTGTTTCCAACGCACGCACGTGAACGACACGTGCGTGCGTCCCTTCGTCGGTATGGCAACTGAAGCCTCTCTCTTCGCTTCTTGGAGCCACGACTTCGAGCAACCTCTTTGCCCCGCGAGTGCCGCTTGCGGCTAGCCAGGCTAGCGCCATTATCTAGTGTCGCACAGGGAAGCGTGCTGGCTGCGCAGGGCAATCGGCGCGCTGTTCCAGAAACCGCACTATAACCAGTATTTCCCTTCGCGCCTGCATTTTAAGTGGTATGTAATTACATGGAGTTCTATGGGAGGCGAACCGGTGGTTTAAAAAAGTCGCGTTATACCCGGTCCTGCACTATAAGTGGTTACGTTATAAGTGGTCTATACTGTAATGCTGATCTTGTTTATGCAGTCTTACATTTGTCCTACACCAGTGATACAGTGGTGAATTAGTGCTAAATTAGGTTCATCAGCTCTGTGCTGTACATGTGTACCAGCCTCTAAAAAAAATTTTTTTTGTTCATGTTAAATTTGTTTTTTACCTGCGTGTCCCTCCTACATTTTCTTTTTTGAAGGTCCCTTTTAAGTTAAAGGGACACTGACAGCCCCCAAAATTTTTTTTTATTTTTTGCCAGGCGCTTCATTATGATGTCGGAGGACTACCCAATTAATATTTTGCAACAGAGTAGCGTATTTGTTTAATATAGCCAAAAGACGCAACTGCTTGAAATCGAAACCGAAACCCGACGGAGGTCGGAGAAGTGGAGAGAAGAGAGTGAGTGGCGGAAGTCACGTGGCTACACCCGACCGTGCGTTTTTGTTTTTGTTTTCTCCTCTCCATAGCAGACGACACGACATGCGGTGTGCTATGCGGCGTGCGGGAACTGCTCGCCGTGCGATTCTTTTGCAGTTATGTTTGTTCCGCTTGTTGTTTTGTACTCCAAGATGAGTTGTTTTGTACATTGAGGAGTTGGAGGATGAGTAGTAGGTGCCCGTGGTGAATTTCCATGATCGGCTCCGAAAAGAATACACCCAAGATGTTGCGTGAAGAGCTGGCTCACATGTCCTGCATCCGAAAAAAAGTGGCATTGTGCGACAGAGTTTCCGAAAGATCAACGGGATCGGGACCAATGGCTGGTTGCAATTCCTGTAGAACATATACGGGCACCTCGGAAAGCGGACGCTACCTGATTTATATGCTCCTCGTATTTTGTGGAAAGTGATTACATTGAGTTCGCAGGTGTCAAAACGGAAATCCCATACCATTTAATTCAGCGAAGTATCGTCCACAACTTTTGTTTGTTTCTTCAGTGATGATTGTAAAAAAAAAAGAAAAAGATATGTAAACATCGGAAAATGTTAAAAAAAAAAAAAATAGAGCTACACGAGGGATCGATCCCAGACCTAACGCGTGTGAACCGGACGTCTTTCCCACTGAGCTACTGGCACATCTCACTTCTGGTGGATCTCTTTTCTTAGTAATAATTCAGCCGGTAAACTGTAAGTTGGAAAGTTTGCTGTCGATTTTTCTCTAGCAAAAGCACTCCCGGGTCGAAGTCGGGAAGCACCACGCTTTGGGGACATTCGCACGTAGTAAAGAAATCGTACGCGTGCATATTCAACTCGAAGTAGACACGTCGTGCTTGACGTTTGCGCGAGCGATGTCTTCAGCCACGAGAAGGGAGCGACGGCTCGGCGACGTCTTCGTGCAAATCTGCTTGGTGGCCGGGCGTGTCGTACGGGATGAATACCAATTCTTTTGATCAGTCCCAAATTTCTCTTTAAACGGTAGACAGAATTCGCCGGTACCGCAAACGACAGTTCTGAAATAGAGGTCCCATGCCCGTCGTCCGCTGCCATCGCCGTCCCCGCGAGTCCCACGATACGCGAAACGACGAACGCACAGAATGCTTCCGGTTGTCTGTGGAACTTTTTTTATCAATCAACGTATTTACAGCTTTTTAGAAGCCACAAAAAATGGGTTTCATATTTTTTTTCTATTTTTAATATTGAGTGTGTGCCTTCAGTGACCCACGACTTTGATTAAATTTGGTGGTCGCATCGATACCTTAGAAAACGGCCCGTGACCGCGGAAAGGAGAGTGAGCGAGACTCGAACCGGCCAGTTCTTGATCGGCGGTTTTCGGGCGGAAAGAAACCGAATTTTGAGCCGCAAATTCTGTTCTGGGTAGTTGAGCTCTCATATGTCACGTACAACTAAAAACCTTGGCGAGCATAAATACCCTGTCAGTGTCCCTTTAAAAAATAAAAAAAGTGTGCGAGGAAAGGCGGTCACTCTTTGCAGAGAAGCACTGGTATATGCGTGGTAAGACGCGATTACACGACTGGGGCTTCTACTTTTTTGTGGCTTGTACGTTTTGAGTTTCCTTTGCCCAAAGAATGTTTTCCACTCTTTTCGTGCCAGACAAGAACACACTTTCCCAAGGCAATTGATGCCCCTACATTCTTTATTTTTTGTAGGGACAGCAGGTTTGGTGACGCAGAACACTCTAAACCAATCTCTGATAAGACTCAGGTCTTAGTGTAAAGAAATATTTTCTCCCAAATTGGCACTCCTTTTCTGAGAGAGTAATTTTTTTCCTGCCAAACATTCCATAATGCACTTTGTAGAATTACTCACTTATTCCCTTCGCTCTGCGATAACTCACGCTTGAGAGCCCCCTCGACAAAAATATAGATCCGGACCCACGGATATCCGCGCCTGTAGCCCATGACATCTGCATCCAATTCACAATCCGCCAAATCTAATTTATTTTTATCCGCACCTGCCAGTTCACTGGGCATAACCGTGGGTAGTTCTTGGGCATTTGGCGCATCTGCAGTGCTTTACTCATGAAACTTCAGTACCCCCCCCTCCCCCTTGGAAGTTTAGACCGTATGCAGTGGAACATTCATTATACAACATTTATGGGAACGCGCGAAAGTGTCAAATAATGAACCCGGAGTCGTATTACCCAAAACGACAATAATTACAGCACTTTGACAAACCTGCGCTAAATTATAGTAAAATGCAGGACGTTGAATAAACTGGAAATGCATAATCAAGGTTCCACTCGATATGCAGTTTTATGGGCAATTTTATTTTGCCTATTACTGGTGCGATGACTTACACCAGAACATGCACCCATACTGTAAGTGGAAAGTAGCGTATTATTACACAGCGTACTGTGCTAATTAATATTGGGAGGGGTGAGTGGGGACGTAAATTATTTTTGGCTGTGCTACTGTACCTCTTTACAAGATCTAGTGTGCCTTGTGTGGACTTTCAGAAAATGGGTCTATTGATGCAGCAATGCAATTGGAACCGTTCAATATTTTTTGGTGTTATAGGGACTGGATCTGTTTATGTTATGCCTCTGTGGTTGCAGCCTGTAGAAGGGGGTGGATGCAAGCTGAGTGATATAGCCCTGAATATGATAGAGATTCAAGTTTTAGGGCTGTAGGCTGTGGAATAAGCATTGCCAAAAAACCTCAAACGAGGAAAATGACTTTAGCGTTGACAAGGAGGCTGTCATGTTACTAACATGCTGCGCAATGATACGTAAGGTGGAGCAAGCTGCATGGCTCGGACAACCTGAAATTGTGCAATGTCTCTTAAGAGTGAGCTCCTGTGATTAATTTCAACCAGACGAGACATATATATGTACCTAGCAGAGCTTGCATTCAAATTTGCCACTTGACAGAGGCACGTGATTGTTTATGTCGTTTGCACGGAAATTGACTGAATATCATATTCAATCTTGGTTCGTACATAACATGCTTAACTGCATGAAGCAAGTGATAGATGTAAGGGACATACTTTAAACCTACTTTAGGTGGACAACATCTCTGTACAGCATCTGCTCTCTTCCCCATATTACAACTAATGCACAGAGTATATAGAATGTGCACTAAAGCACAGGTTACATTGATATTCTTGACAGGCATTAGATACCCAGAGGTTTGATTTTTTTTCTTTGGTGTTCTGCGTGCAGGCAATTAATTGTGTTTTTTGTTTTTTTTTCTAGAAGCCGTGGTCGCAAGGCACCCATGACATTGAAGTCTTCCAAACAAGGCACTATGAAGGCATGACTTGTAGCGGCACTGGAGCAAGCGACACGGTCCGGGTGAGCCGCAAGTGTAACTGTTACACTGTAAACAGGAAATATAGACATGTGTCCGACAAAGCACAGACTCATAAAACTTTCGTGTAGCAATAATAGTTTAATTTAACTAAACAGTGCATCAACAGAGCCTGACCCAAGAATGGGGAATTGGGGAACCGGCCAATGTGTAGAGTCTAACAGAAACAAGGAAGGCGATAAAAACAAATGGGGCAACATGTTAAGATAGGACAATAATGTCGTGCCTATTTTTTGTTTTCAATTAAGATTTTATAGGAGCTAGCAAAATATGTCCTTGCAATGGAATAGACCTACTTTTACAAAAAGACCTTCAATGTTTTTGTTAAAATAAATTGCGTCTGAGGAGGTGGAAATATGATTTTCCCAATTGCGCATTAACATATCTTCGAGCTCCACAGGGTAATAAAACTTCCCGAAACGTAAATATTTTTATGCATGCTCAGAAGTTTTTTTAAATATAGAAAAAGTCAAACAATTTTTTTGTGAGAATTCAAAGATATTGTCATCCTCAATTTTTTTTTTTCATTTTCGTTATTGAACACTTAGAAACATGTAATTCAGAATCCACCACCAAGACCTGTTGTATTCTATTGTCTTAAAATAAAGAAATAACGGTTTTGCCGAGTCTGTTGCAGTCAATTTCTGTTGGAGGTGCTGTGTCTCAACAACTAGTGGTTACTCGAGCACCGTATCCACAGTGGCCATAGTTGGTCGCATTATCTCCCAGGCACCACAAAGCATCATACAAAAAAATGTTTTTTTATTTATATTTTTTTTTATCTGTGATGTGTCTGGTAGTGCCTATGGAAACTGAACTTTGTGGTGCATCAGTCCTCGGGGTGCTGTGCTTGGTTGATTGCTCTCAACTGTGCTAATTTCTCGAAGTAGTATTTTAGTGCATGTAGGGAGTTGACAAAATGATTCAAATAATTTATCTAGAAGTCACTATACTCCGTTTGTAAGTGCAATGGATTGTAGCGGCCGTTGCCAGCTGTCTCGGGCAACTTAGCGCATCAAGTGACAACGCATCACAGCGCCTCTCTCCGAGGTCACTACATTGAGTTGACTTGTGTGGCCTGTAGCATGGTCTGTGTTGTATTGTAAGGTATAACGAACATATGAACAGGAAACATTATGAATTTTATGCCCCAATTGATGGCGGGCATGGCGAGGGTAAAACAATAGCAGGCTGTGTCTAAAAAGAAAATGATAAATGGACGAAGAAGCAGAAAGCTAGGCAGTGTCATTGGAGCAACATCATGCCTTCGCGCAAGTGGTGACTCTGGTATTTGTAATACCGTTGCACACTGGCTGATGTTTACACCACACAACTGAAGGCTGAACTCTCTTAACACCATGGTATTGGGTCATTTCAGATGAAACTGAGTAGTAGGTAAATGGTTGACATTTTTTTATTTGCTTGATATTTTATATGTCATTCCCTAAATTATAGTTTACACCAGTTCATATTTACAAACTGTAGCGCCACTGGCGCCGCGCATGCGCGATGGAGTGTGGGCGAGAAGCTCGCCGTCGCCCATAAACAAACCATTGGAATGCGATGTTGTCGTTGTCGGTGTGAGTCCCCCTGCCCTTTTTGGCGTTCGAATTGGTGATTCTACGTCGTTTTTGCGATGCCTGACTACTTGAGCGGCCTCAGGGAGATTACCGAGGCTCGTTACACCGCAAACCTTCGCGTGAATAATGTGGCATGCGGCGATTCATTCCGCGTGGACGCCGCAGAATGTACGCTAAAGCCTGATTCGCATGATGAGATTTCGCTCGCAATTTTCAGTCGCGAAGTCACTCGGGCTGCAACAGCGTGAACCGTAGCTGAGATGGTCGACGCCGATACTGAAAATCGCAAGCAGAATCGGACCAAGTGAATTAGGCATAACAAGTTGGTGATGGCCACTGGTAACAATGATGAACATCTTTTTGTATCTACTGTTTACATGAAGCCTGCTTACCAAGTTTCAAATTTAAGTCTTTTGAGGGCTGCACTTACTTCTTATCGCAAGTACGGCATCAACATTTGATGTTCGGGCCGGTGTCTTCTAAAAGAGCAGACAAGCAGAATTGTCTGAGACAGCAGACGATAGTTCGAATGATCAGGCGGCCGTTTGAACTTGAAGACGCACTGAACATAGTCATTATACAATGGTCGGTACAACATGACGGTTTTTTGGCATTCATGTGGGAACAAAAGAATAAATTGATGACCACCAGTATTCGTGAATTCAACCCGAAGTGCTTCCCGCCCAAGCAGATGTGGTCCGACGGCATCTGGTTTTCCCTTTTCACGGCACATATCCACGTTCTCGGACGAACCGAGCACATGAAAACTAACCTTCAAACCTTTCTAGACTCTTTTAGTACAGCCCCAGTCGTGATGTTTTGACGAGAAAGCGGGTTTTTGTCAGGTTCCTTTCAAAACAACGCAGGAATACACGTCTCGCACGGGGACTTCCGCCCACAGCCCCAGACCGGAATTGTGCCCGAAGCGCCACCACCGCACTGTGACGTAACAGAGATGAGTTTGTGTATGAAGGAATACAAAAAACACTTTTGGATAAAAAACTAAATTTCTAGACACAAAAAGGTGTAGATTATGAAAAGCTAGGTTGTCACTTGCATTCACGAGCATGACTGATGTGATCAAGTTTGATGTGAATACCTTAAGTAATAGTTTTAGGCAATTATAGGCTAGAGTACCCAAAAGCCTTGCGGAAGCAAAAATAGCGTCGTCACCAGTGCGCATGTGCCAAGCCTAGACCTTGTCTGGATTGGCGCATTACGACGATGCCATTTCTTTGAAACGCACAAATTTGGACACATTCTAAAACTTGCAATTAGAAGTTCATTAATTTTGAGAAACAATGCCTGGGTTAGGCAAAAGAGGCCTTGAGAACATACGTTCATCATTCATGCTCCTTTTTTTTTCATACTTTATATTGAATACAAAATATTTGCATATAACGAGCAGATTTAAAAATCCTCTTGACTAGAATATCTGCAACAAATTTCTTGTTCAGATGCCGCAGTTTATAAATATGAGTTACGTATTAAAATAAGGACTTAGGAGAGTACAAGTGAAATCTCGGCAGCAACCTGCAGGGTTTCTATTTAAGTATCGTACAGTAGTGGAAGGCTTGTAAAAACTATAACAATATTAAATTCAAAACTATTCAACAGAAAAAAATATTCACTTTAAATTCGTTTTGAACTCAAAATCCACTATACGTCAAACTCGTTTACATCAAACTCGCAAGAAAACGTCTGCCAGTTCGATATAGCGGGTTATTCAATTAGAAGTATTAATGAATTTGACTCTCAAAAATCCACTTTCTGCTGAAATATTACACAATGAAATAGTCTTGCATCTTCTGCTGCTTTTTCTTCATTGCATCCGCAATAACAATATTTTTCTACGCTATCGATGGACTCCGAAATGGAGGCCGCTGCCTTCTATATTCGCACATTAGGGCCGAACTATGCCGAGGGCACGGAGCACGTCCGAGCAGTAGCACCTGCAGAGCTTCCGTTTCGCTTTGCAAGTTGGCTTTCCCCTAAGGCAGGCAGCTGCGTTGGGGGAAAGCCAGCTAGCAGAGCAAGCTGGCTTTTTTTTTTTCCGGGCGGCCGCCTCAACCTTCTCGGAAGAAAAGGCAGTATTCTCTTTTGTGGACGGAGTGGGAAGAGGAACCATGGAGCGCCCTCCCCCTGCTCCCTGCGCAAAAGAGATTTTTTTTTTTTTGTTCCGGGCGGTCGACCAACACCTCCCAGAAGAGAAGGCCGTAGCGCTCCTCTCGTGACGTCGCAAATGAAGGCCATCGGGGGCGCACGTCGAAGCGAAGGCAACGCGCGTGGGTCGATTGTTGTAACGCGGTTTTAGTCACATAAGCGTGATTTGTTAGCTAAAATGAAAGCTGCCCATAACAATGGGTCTAGAAAACATTGTATTTCACGGGCAAAGCATTACATCGCTAAATAATCGGTACAAAATGGCACGAAGTATGCGTATAAGACGCCTATACAAAGTGATTGTTTTAAGTTGAAAACATTGAGTCACGCAATTGTTGTAGGAATGCATAATTTATACAGAAACGCTTCAACAAAATTGTGAGACACGCAGTGAGTGGACACAGCAAAACAGATCAGTTAAAGATCAGGTGGACGTAGTCAACGTGGACACAGCTAGAGAAGGGTCACTTACAATCATGTAAACAAAATATAACTTCTTTTGTATACAATAATACTATTGCCGTAATACAGTTAAGGTCCTGGTATAAATGCGGTAAAGGCAATAAAATGACATTAGTATCAGCAAACACGAAACCACAAAAAATGCATTTTGTATGATCGCACAAACTTGTCATTCACCTTCCAGTGAAAACTAGAATGTTACAACGCATATTTACAAATGTCGACGCCACTGTACACGGATAGCGACAAAGAACAAAATTCCACTCTATCACAAAATGTTAAAAGAAAGACTGCAGCACTTACTTGCGTCCCACATGACCAAGAAAGCCCGTAAATAAGTTGTTTCTCACCTGTCGATCGTATCCATATGTCCCACAATATCTGGCACCAAAACATTTGAAGACAAGCTCCAAGAAGTCCCTCTTAGTCGAGATCTCGAGAGGTCTATCGATAATCAACCAGTGTCATTGTTGGCTAGTTTCCACACACGTCACTCAAACAGTAGCAGGACTTGTTCCGCGAATCCACGTAAATGCCGTAGTATCAAGCGAACACAAAAACTACCCGAGACTGCGGTGACGACAGAAAAACGTCGGGAACAAGGATCAAAAGAACCTCACACGAGAGCAGCGGAGCAGTGTGGGAGGCTTAACGTTGTCGGCCCATCTCTTGCTCTTGTGCGCTCCCCGCGGCGATGACTTGATTTTTTTCCATTCTCTTCCCTTCTGAAAGTCCCAGCGTTCCTTTTCAGACAGTCTGCAGCTCGCACACAACATACATTTACCAGAATCGGAGCCGTTGGAGGGAAGATGAAAATGTCTCACCGAACTGGTTCATTCGAAAGTTGTGGGGAGCTGCGGGACTGCACATAGTCCCGCGGTTATAGGGGTAATCATGAATATAAAATTGGTACTTTCAACCTTGGTAGCACATTGTATATTACATTTATATTATATATATATAATAAATTGTACAAGACAGCACTTTTAAGACATATTAATGTCGGATAAACGCGCACAAACCCCACCGTGCCGCTTGACAAGAAAAATGTTTTTCACGACGATGTGATTTTTTTTTTTTATGTAGTTGCACCATGGCCTTCCTTCTCCGACATTGTGATGTAACCACTCGGAGCGCTACGGCCTTCTTTCTTAGAGGTGTTAAGTCGATGCGTCCGCCCACAAAAAAGAAGCCAGCGTGCTCTTCAAGCTGGCTTTCCGCCAATGCGGCCGCAAACATTGGGGGAAAGCAAGCTTGCAGAGCCAAACGGCACTCTTGGCAGTTCGATGTATCGGTAGTGGCTGCTATTTTTGTTCAATGTAACCGTAATTGTTGATATATATTATCGCTGTAACATTACTGTGCACAAAAGTTTTTCAATATAAGAAATAATTCCAAGTAAACGGGTTCAATATAGTCGGGTTTGACTGTACACACATACCTACAAAACATAGTTCCTGAATAATGTGCAAACATTTCTCTTGATGTGACAACGGGTTTAGGTCAACTAGGGTCAGGACAAAGCAGCTTCGGCCTTCGACAGCACAGTTCATGGTGTTTTCGAACAACCTATTGCCAGGCAAGACTAACGAAAGATGTGTCTAGCCCTATACTCTTGCTCCTAACCAGGGTCCTGGTTGCTGGAAATCGGGGCAAGCAATCTTTCCAACTTTAAACATTTACTGTGTTTAGATGGCAGGAGCTGCTGAGGGTGATGTCATTCTTGTAGGATCTAATGCCAACGGCATGTGCTCATGAGAAAAATGCATATAGGCACATCCGGTTACCAAATAGCACCGTAGTGCAGTCAATGGCACGGGCTTGTACCGGAGGACGCTCTTCCACATATTCCCAACAGAACAGAAGCAAGTGTGTGAAACAAAATGATCAGATCTCATCACTTTCAACAAAGCACACATGAAGGAATGCTAGGTAATGTTATTCCCTGAAGTTTAACTGTCATTGCTCCTTGAAAGAGTATTACATATCCGTCCTTTGCTTACTGTTAATGTGTACTTGCCAAATAGGATTCCCTGTTCACTTGTTTATTTTTCACTTGAAATAAATTTACATATTTTTGTTGGCTCCTGCCATGAATTAGGGTGTGTTTCTGTAGCCCCCCCCCCAAACAGAGGAGGCCAGCTGCATGACAAGAAATTGAATAGGCCAACAGGCAACCTGCAATCCACTGGTTAGGGGAACATGAGCGACACTAAATAAGCTATGCTCCAGAGTAACAACACTTAGGCCATCTTATGGAATAAAATTATTGTATTCAAATTATTTGGAGCTTTACTTAGAATTTCAAGGACAGCTTTCCGTCGTCCAGAAATGTTGAAGCGGTTCATGGCAGAGCGGTCTCACTCAGTCTTCTGGCGGTGCCACAAGACAATCGGGAAGTGGAGTCCCTAAAGGCGCATTCACACTTCCAAAATCTGGTGGTCGCGCGACTGCTTTTTTGTCGCAAAAGCGAGCGGTTTCAACTCCAAACCAGTCGCTTTTGCGATCATCACCGTCTCTCGGTGACCAAAATGCAGTCACGCAACCACTGCGTCTTGCAAGTATGAACAGACCTTGAGCGTGGCCTCTAGTGAGAGTCATTGGGCTAACCATCTTTGCCAAGTTTTTTCTATGGACACCATACCAGCTTGGCTGTCAACCCAATGCCATTGCCGGCCACTGGCATCCTGCCGGTGCCACACTGTCAATTCGGCGGCCGACCGAAAGCCGCCCTCGGCCAATGGCGTTCTGCTGGTACCACAATCTCAGGTTGGTGACCAACCCAAAACCGCCCTCGGCCACTGGTGTTCTGCCGGTGCCAGGATCCCAGGTCGGTGGCCGACCCAAAGCCACCCTCGGCCACTGGCGTCCTGCCGGTGCCACGATATCATCTCGGTGGCCGACCCAAAGCCGCCATCGGCCATTGGGGTCCTGCTGGTGCCAGGATTTCAGGTAGGTGGCCGACCCAAATCCGCCCTCGGCCACTGGTGTTTTGCCAGTGCCACGATATCATCTCGGTGGCCGACCCAAATCCGCCCTCGGCCACTGGTGTTTTGCCAGTGCCATCGATATCATCTTGGTGGTCGACCCAAAACCGTCCTCGGCCACTGGTGTTTTGCCAGTGCCATCGATATCATCTCGGTGGCCGACCCAAATCCGCCCTCGGCCACTGGTGTTTTGCCAGTGCCATCGATATCATCTCGGTGGCCGACCGAAATCCGCCCTCGGCCACTGGTGTTCTGCCGGTGCCACGATATCATCTCGGTGGCCGACCCAAATCCGCCCTTGGCAGCTGGTGTTTTGCCGGTGCCACGATATCATCTTGGTGGCCGACCCAAATCCACCCTCGGCCACTGGTGTTCTGCCGGTGCCACGATTTCAGGTTGGTGGCCGACCCAAATCCGCCCTCGGCCACTGGTGTTCTGCCAATGCCACCATGCGAGCTCGGTGGCCGACCCAATACCGCCCTTGGCCCTTAGTCTTCTGCCGGTGCCCGGCCATTGGTGCCCAGCCGATGCCTGAGCCAGGGGTGCTCGGCCATGGGGCCCGGCCCTCCCAAAGCCCGGGCAGGTGGGCCTTTCTTATGCCGAGGGACCATAACGAGGTCGGCACCGACCTCTTTGGCCGGGCAATGGCCGATGAAAATAGGCTCGGCCATGGGGATATGGCCATCCTTCGGCCGGGCTCCCCGTGCTACTTGGGAGGCCAGTCAATCGCAGGACCCGGAGTGGAAGTGACTCGGAAAAGTGAATGTGCTCGTTCATTGCCTGGGATAAGAGCGTGGCCAGGGATCCAATAGATGTAGAAGCGAAGGGCGGGGGTGGTGTTGAGGGCGGCTCGAAGCTCGCGCGACACGTAGTTGGGGAGTTGGTTGTACTGAATTGTGCGAACTGCCTTTTGGGAATCTGTCAGGACAGTGATGGAGGTGTGTCCCTCGTGGGGGTTGGCGATAGCATGGTGAATGGCGGAGCACAGCGCCTGAGTCTCCAGAAGGTCTGCCGAAGGCGCTTCGGTGTATGTTTGCCTAAGCGTTGTGTTTGTCTGGGGACAGTGAATTGCGGTGCGGTCAAGTTTGGTGCCACGGTCGTAGCTGGCGGCTGCGTAGTAGATTTGGGGCTGCTGTGCCTGAAGTGTGGCGAGTTTTTGGGATATGAGTTTGGCTCTGTGCTTGCGGCGTTCCGGGTTGCTGTCGGGATTCATATGTTTGGGTATGGGGAGTGTGGTGAGTTGGGGTATGGTATCCCAGGGAGGTGTGGTTCTTTCGATGGGATGGAAGTGCAGGGTGTCGTAACCGAGAGAGGTGAGAACTTAGCGATCTTACAGGGACGTGGTTAGGCGTTGCTGTTGACTCAGATGGTGCAAGTCGACTCGCTCCTCTTCTGTGTTGAAGGGGTCCATCTGTTGCAAGTGCTCTAGGGGAGCGTACTGTGGCACGCCGAGAGCAAGGCGGGTGGGTTTGCGGAGCTGTTTCTGGAGGTGTTGGAGTTGACGGGTAGTGAGCGGGGTGTAGGGGATATGGTAGAGTACGAGAGAGTAGATGAGAGCATCGATGGCTCGTCTAATGTAGCTCTCTTTGAGGCCTATGTGGCGGCGGGAAACACGGCCGAGGATGTGTGTGATTCGATTTATCTGTTTGGAGAGGGTGGAGACGGCGATATCGCTTGCACCGTTGTTTTGAATGGTGAAGCCTAAAAGCTTGATGTGTCGGCGTTCGGGTATGGGAGTGCCGTCGAGGTGTACGATGATCAGCTGCCTGTCGGGATTGATTTTGCGGTTGGAGATGACGAGGAGTTCCGATTTAGATGGAGAACAGGCCAGACCTATACTAATGGCATAGCTTGCGACAGTGTCGCAGGCGTGTTCAGTGTATCTTCCTGCTGGCCGGGGGAACCGGTGTTGGTCCATAAGGTAATGTCATCGGCGTAAATGGAGAATTTGAGGTGGCGGATGGTGTCGAGTTGTGCGGGAAGTTTGCTCATGCCAAGTTCGAAAAGGGTGGGAGAGAGGATGGAGTCTTGTGGTACTCCTTGGTGCAACGGAAAAGGTGTGGAGATGTGTCCAGGAATTTTAAAGGCGGCCGTGCGCTTCGTTAGAAAGTTGCAGGTGTAGTTGTACATTCGAGGGCCACACTGCGTTTGTCTGAGGGTACTGACTATGGAGTCATGCGAGACTTTATCAAAGGCCCTGCAGATGTCCAGGCTTAGGAGGGAGCGGAGTTGTGTGGTGCTTTTGGCTTGGAGAAGTCACTGTATAGCCGAAGGAGACAGTCTTGTGAGGAGATATTCTTGCGGTAGCCAATGAGTGTAAAGGGTAGGGCTTTCACGTGCTCGAGATGCCATTCGAGGCGCGTGAGAACAAGCTTCTCGAGAAGTTTGCCGGTGCACGAGGTGAGAGAAATGGGTTGTAGGTTCTTGACTTCGGAGGTTTTGTTTGGTTTGGGGATCATGGTAACGATGGCGTGTTTCCATTCTGCTGGTATGTCGCCAGTTTGCCAAGCAGTATTGAAGTAGTTTAGGAGTTGCTGGGGTTGTGTGTCGTCGAGATTGCGAAGTTGATATGTGACTTGATTTTCGCCAGGTGATGTGTTTCGTTTGAGAGAGTAAAGTGCCCGCTTTAGTTCATTGAGTGGGAAGGGGGCGTCCATGTCACATCGGTCGAGGGGAGGAGTTGGATGTTCTGGTGTGTGTGGTGTGTCGGTTGGTGGTGGAAAGAAGGTGTCGCGGAGTTGCTGCTCAAGGTCGTACGAGGTAATTTTGCTGGCGAGCATAATGCGAGGTTGAGAGGGTGCGAGGAGTGTGCGTAGGATGCGCCACGTTTCTTTGGTGCCGAGTTCGCTTTTTTTGGTGCCGAGTTGGTGCAAGGGAGACGTTCGCTTTTTCAGCCATACCTGAAGTATCAAATTTGAGACCTTTGCGATACCCTGCTGCGCAAGCGGAGTAGAGTATCGGCTGAACGGCTCCATTTCGCCAAGGAGAAACTTCGCCTATTTGAGAATCGCTATGAGATGGCGCATCATGTAATGAACTGACGAGTATCGAAGAAGCGCCCTCATTCACCTTCGCGAAGGCCTCTAAACAGGCAGTCCTCTCACCGGGAGATCCGCGATGTCCGAGCAAACTTTTACCGCTTTTGGGTAACCTTGTTCAGACGCCTCTCTTTCCGTCCACCGTGTCACAAACTTAAGCGCATTATTCTTCGGTCTCTTCATTTGCCAAACTTATCTCGTTAATCGCAGTCGTTATTTCTCCGTGCAATCTGCAGAGGAGACGAGACGCACGAGCACATTCGTGAATTGGTGCCGCGACCTCAAATGCGGCCATAAACAGCTTGCAAAAGCTCTATCGTCCGTACGAGTTGAAACTATAATTGATTCAGATATATTTACTTGGCGCAACAAAGTAATACTGAAGCTAGCACAGCGCAACTAAGTTAGAGCCGAAAGCAGCCGCATCGTTTCCGAGTGTCTGCAGTAGAGAGCAGAAAAGTGGTTTGCCTCTGGATATAAAGAGAACAGAAAACATCGGCATTCGAAATAACCCGCTCGAACTTGGAACCCACCTTAGCTGGAAAACTTTTTTCGACCGGGGAAGATTTATGATCTGACGGTTCGCAACCCTCGCACAAATTTCATCCACTTTAGAGCCCGCTCATGCGCGCCCGCATTCCGTCCAGTGCACGTACAGCTATGCGTAATCGTGGCCGAAGTCAATATACAAATACGCACTTTGAGTGCACAGGTAGCCGCATAGGGGAGTCGGTTTCTGAGCAGATAACGCGAGATGTGATGTGCCGTCCTTTTGTAAACACACCGCTGGCGATTTATTGGAGTCTATGGCCCCACGGTGGCCATTTTTGCTTTGCATCAACGCGCTTTTATTTGTGTCTATATTTCATTTAATTGAAGGTACTCGCATGAAGTTTTTTTGCCTCGCGTCCTCTCGTTGTCACGGAGATAGCCGTGACACGAGAGAAAAATAGATTTACACAATGGAAGTTGTTCGCCGCTTCTAGGTTTTTAGTAATTCCGTCATTTGTACAAGTTTCTTGTTCATAAAACTTGATCCGCGGCGGTACGGGTATTTACAGTTTTGACTGCTTATTAATTTCAATTTACGTCACCGTAAAGTAGAGCATAATTCCAGCTTTTTCTTACAATGGAATTCTTTAGGCGCAGCCCCACTGGTCATCCCAAAGACGTCGATGCAGACATGGGGAATTTGGCGGACTAAGGCCTTTTGGAAGCATGTTTTATTCATACGTTTTGTTAAATATTACCCGGTTTCTTCGCCACATTACAGAGAAATCACATAGACGAACTGTTTCTGACGATGGCTTAATGGCGACCGACTTCTTAATGGAATGAAAGCTGAAACGTGGTGCGCGCTCCTTCTCGTCGTCTTCCTTGCTCTTTTTGTTGAAGATTCAGCAAGCTGCGCCATTAGGGTGTGCCGTAGGTAAAGTGGTTATACTCGGAGATAGCTTTTTTCTGTCGCTTCTGAATAAGGGAACACCACACGAGCACATCTGTGATTGGCGCTTAATGTGCGCGAGCGCACGGGTACCTATAGCTTTGACGTCATTGTATATAAACTTGTCGCCAAGTATATTAAAGACATGGTAATTCTGGGAAGTGTTGTTTATCAGGTTATCTTTAAGTATGGCTCTCATTGTTCGTGTATCCCTAGTCAATGATATACGTACCGTAAAGAGCGACTTCTTAAAAGTTGCTGCGCACATGCTCGTCGATATTCCACTGGGGGCGAGTATCATAACTTGACATCGGTCACTCATAGAGCATCGTGTTCCTGATCCTGTGTTCTTTTTCGGCTTAATATTTTTTTTGAGGGGGGGGGGGGGGGGGTTCCTTACCATCTGGCTAGTATGCTCACAAAACTACAACTCTGTTTATGGAAATGAAGCCAACGTGTGTTCAGCGTGAGGTTTGCGTCAAATTTTGGGAGATATATGTCTTTGCTTGTTCTGTCTTGCCGTTGGTGAACGTTGCTTGATTCTTCGTTTCGCATTCACTTTCTTTTTAGGCGTGTTTTTTTTTTTTTTTTTTTTCTCTCTCATGCTCGTCGATATTCCACTGGGGGCGAGTATCATAATTTGACATCGGTCACTCATAGAGCATCGTGTTCCTGATCCTGTGTTCTTTTTCGGCTTAATCTTTTTTTTTTTTCTGAGGGGGGTGGGGGGGGGGGGGGGTTCCTTACCATCTGGCTAGTATGCTCACAAAACTACAACTCTGTTTATGGAGATGAAGCCAACGTGTGTTCAGCGTGAGTTTTGCGTGAAATTTTGGGAGCTATGTCTTTGCTTGTTCTGTCTTGCCGTTGGTGAACGTTCCTTGATTCTTCGTTTCGCATTCACTTTCTTTTTAGGCGTGTTTTTTTTTCTCTCTCGACTTTGTATTTTTCTCGATAGATTTGTGGATATTGCTTTCTGTCGCCACGCTCTGCGAGTTTGATCAGTTCTTCTTACGCCTTGCGGCTGACTTGCTCTTTTGCCCTCGTGGACTCTGTTTTGCTCCTCTTCTTCTTTGGTCGTACTACGCCGGCTTTTCTGTCTTGAATAGAAAGTTTAGTGTCGGTAGACGCTTACCCCTCGAACAAAGAAGGTACGTGCATACCAGACAACATATCGGACTGCGTCTAGGCCTGCACTTTGCTTGCAAGAGGGGTTTCCTCCATATAGATTCGTTTCCACTCTACGTCAAAAACTTATATTTTATTATGTCGTGACTTTTTCAACAGTCTGGAAGTCATGTCTGCTTTATCCAGTCACGGTGTACTCCACCTCAGGAACTATGTTTATTTCGTATATTTCGATTACGTGTGTTAAGAGCAAAATTGCTACTGAATGATCAGTCCTCTTCTTAACTTTCCTGTCCTTGATTATTTTTCGTCCAATATTTTTTATCTGAGGTTTCGACGTCTGTGTTCTGCAGGTGTAATTCGTAACGTTTATTTTGACAAATTTATAATATAATCTTTTCAAACTGCAACACATCTACAAACTCCTGCTCGAAATTCTCATCACTCACATGCGGTTCGATGGCAAAGTCGAGACCGAAGAGTGCACCCTGTAGGAAACGTTGTAACATTTAATCGAGGTATATTCTTTTAATGTTGACTATATTTATTGAAATATGTCTCACCTTTGTTCATACTATGTCTCGTTCTTGAAAAGGTCGCTCCATGTCGGTCCAGGGATTCTTTGCTATGAACAACTAGTCCTTTTGTCGTTCTTGATGAAGGCCGGTCTTTTTCATGTCAATGTTCCCTGGTTTCAGCAAGGAGTTGTTGAGCCCACGCAACATTTGAAATGGGCAACTACAGTTGTCGTCGTGCGAGCAAAAAACAGTAGCACCCGCCTCTGCTGTGATTATCGCAGCACTCTGAACGCCGTAGCAGAAACGTCGTCCTACCCCTTTCCAACAGTCACGGAAGTGACTGTTGGGAAGGGGTAGGAGTTATTAAAGGTGGCCTACATTCGACAAAGACATTGCGCGTGAATTTGGACCGCATGATCCGCCATAAATCCAGCCGTGTTCCGGTGAAAGCGGCTGTGCGTACCTGAGCATTCATCCCGGCCGTGGCACACGTAGCATTCACCTTGATTTTGCAGGCTCAATGGAAAAACACATGTGCCTCGTGGTTGTCGACGCACACACAAAACGGCTTAAAGTGAGAGCCATGCCATGAACGACATAAGCAACTTCCATGGCTGTTATACGGGAACTTCGGGCTA